TCCAAATAAAAAGGCAATATCTCAGGTAATTATATTAAAAAAATTATTTTGCTTTGTTCATTTTTAAAAAAGTTAAGGCACTTTTCAGTGTTAAAATATTAACAGGATAATCAGTTAATTTTACATAAAAATTACATTGTTGGTTTAATTTGGCGGTCTTTTTCTCATAGAAGAATAGGTGTTGGGATAAATTTTTTTTTTTTTGAACTTATAGTATTTAATATAAGTTTTATTTTGACATATCTATAAAGCTTGGAGTATATCCGGAACATTTTTTAAGTTAAGTTGAAAAAGTTCTACTTTTTACTCATAACATAAGCATTATTTTAATATATGTTTGTATTTTTGGAATATTTTCAAAACTTAAGTTGGAAAAGTATAATTTTTGTACAGAAGTTGCTATTTTGAATACCCTTCTATGGGAAAGTAAAAGGTCAGATTTTTGTAAAACTTATACCAAACAAAAGAAAAATACCTAAGGTTTTTATATAATACATTTTTTTTCATATTTAAAAGTTATAATAGTTTTAGTAAAAAAAGTTTAAAAAATGACGAAATTTACCGATTTTAAAAATCGTAATTTTTTAAGGGATTTCCACGAGGGGGAAATTTTTAAGTGTAATATTTTCAACTAGATACGATTTGTGATCTCATGACGTATCGCTGTATTAAATCGGTCTAGGGGAAGATAGGAAAAATTAGTAACAGACACAAAAAAAAAAAATAATAATAAACACATCATGGTAAAATTAATCGAATCGAAGCTAAAAAAACAATACTATTAATATTAATAAAATTTTTATTAATATAAGAATATATGTGATTTTATAAATTTTAAAGTTTAGTGTCGATGCTTGCAACTTGGTGTCATTACATTAGTGTCATTGTGTAAACTATGCTTTATTTTCTATTTATGCTTGTTTGATCCCTTTTCATCCCAATTACTTTATTTTACGAACTAAAAAAGGATGGGAGTAGGTATGTGGTCAGGGCAGTACCACACCAATTAAGTTGGGGCCAATGTATAGATGTTATCTATGAAAGGGACCTTTTTATAAGCTGATCAGATTTTTGCTCTCGATTTAAACCTTGTATATTTCCTTCGCTTTTATGTATACTATATAATGTATATGTCGGTGAAAACAATTTTGACATATTTTCATTTTAATAGCACAGCCAAACCCAACACTGATTTGTGGTAACTCAAAAAGAAAGAAAATATAAATAAAAATGTTTGAGGGTAGAAAGTTACTATTTTTGTTTTAATAATATAACAATTAATAAACAATATAATACAGAGAATAAATAAGAGGTATTGTAAGAAAGATATAAAATTATAGAAAAATAAAGTGATCTTTATTTATTAATATTAAAATTATTATAATCAATTGTCACATTATTTAATATCAATAATTCCACGAATATTGGTGGTTATCAATGATAGGCAGAATTGAGTCACCTCATGTGTCACCCAGAGTAGTATGGTGGCTATATATGAACCTCTTACTTAACTCCTGAAATAGACAAGCATCAATGATATAACTCTGCCAACTAACTCCGTACAAACATTAACGATTTATTAAATTAACTCCGTAGATTTTTTTATTATTGATGATCACTTGATATTTCTTTGTGCCTACTTAATCTATGTACTCATCAAATTTAATTTAAAACCTTTATATTTTTGGTAAATTGGTTATTTTTCTACCTTGATATTTCCAATAAATACTCCTCTTGCGTGTACCTTTTAGAATGACTAAGCACAACTGACCGAGTGAGAGCATTCTGAGCACCAACAGGGTAACATCTGAGCCAGAATGCCCATTTTATATTAAGTTATTTAATATAACTGATTCTAAGATTTTAATATTATATGGAATATAATTTTAGCTTCAATGCGAAACTGAGAAGGTATTAATTTAACTATGATGTGTTTTTTTATTTATTATTTTTAGCTTCGAGGCGAAGCTGAGAAGGTATTGGTTTTACTAAGATGTGTTTTTTTTTGTGTCTGTTACCACTTTTTCTCAGCTCTCACCCAACCGATTTCTTTCAATGATACGTCAAAAGATCACAAATCGTATTTAGTCGAAGATATTACCCTCAAAAATTGAAAAAAATTCCCTCGTTCCCCGTAAATGGGGGAAACCTCCAAAAAAATTACAAATATATAAATCGCTAATTTTCGACATTTTTTCAATATATTTTACTTAAAACTTTTTTAAAAATTACCCAATCAATATAATTGATATAATATCATTTTTTTGATAGATACCTTAGGTATTTACCTATCATTTGCTATATTTTTGTGACCCTTTACCAGCTCACAGGAAGGGTTTAAAAATCGCAACTTTTTTACAAAAAATTAACTTTTGAATATGTTCCCGAAAGACTGATACTTTTATATATATCTTAAATTAAAGCTTATGTAATATTGTATAATTTGAAAAAAAATTTGACCTCTGGATTTGTCTTCATGGTAAAAATGACTACCGTATTCAAAAATTTGCTATTTTTGTGTTAAAATTGTGGGTTTTGTATTTTATTTTATTTTAAAATACCTGACAAGGGAAATAAATTGATTTTCATAAATATTATATAAAACAAATTGATATAGCATAGAAAGTTAAACTTATTTAAATTTGTTTGCTTTTTTTAAGTAGATAAAAATAACTTTGAAATACAAACTAGCTTAAATTGCCATTTTTTTCAGTCGACGGAAGCGACGTACAGTTGCCGAGTCGGTAACACTTCTGTTGTACGCGCTTGGGATACAAAGTTCCAACCCTCCTCATATGGCAAGGAAATATTTTGCATTATTTTCTTAATTCTTTTTAGAATAAATTAGAATAAATTTTCAACTCAATTGATTTTTACCTAATTTAGATTCGTTAACTTCTATGTAGTAACCCCTCGCGAGAAGAAATTCCTTCTTCATATTAAAATTATTTTACTATATTTTAGGTTTTAGCTTCATATGCAAAGCTGAAAAGTTATTTTTTGATGACTATCATTTATTTTCTCTGCTCTAATTTGACCTATTTTTTCAACGATACGTCATTAACGAACTTATCCCATGTTCTCCATACAGACAATTAAAATTATTCATCTATAATGTTTTCAAAGTATTTATTGACAAATCAAGTTCGATATGACAGGTTTCAATTACAAAATTAAAGCATTTTACTTTGTAATATAATATTTTTTTTACTCTATTTGTGTCTTCTACTACTAGACTATAATAATCCAATTTTTTTCATAAAATGTTATTACATAAATCATTTCTAAAAAAAATGATTGTTAGTTTCTCCTGGATTAACAATGGATTTTTAGATCTTTTTAACCCTTTAGCAGACGTGTGCCTATTTTTAACGTTCATAGTCACGTGGGGGTCTATCTGACCCCATTTCTAAAAAAGTATAAAACATGTATAAAAAAGTTCATTTTTTTTTTTCAAAGACATTATTTGTTACCATATGATATATAAATATGGATAAAAATTTAATAATAAAAATTAAAAAATTATTTTAACTGCAAAATCTTATTTTTAAGACGGTAGACAAAAGCTTTTACTATTACAAAATGTATTTTAATTCATTTTTTTGTATTTCTTTGAGCTCAAACATGGCTTATATTTATTAGTTTTATGTGTATTTCAGACAAATTTACTATAAATAATTATTATAAAATTTCCTGAGTGTATATTAATATTAGCGNAAAAAAATGAGCTTTTCAGACAAATTTACTATAAATAATTATTATAAAATTTCCTGAGTGTATATTAATATTAGCGATACGATTTTTTTAAGTCTCAAAAAACTTCCTATCTAATGATGTCAGTTTTAAACTTTCAAATTGAGCTAAAAGTTATGGTAAAATAAATAAAAATTTTTTTTATTATAAACATTCACAAAAATCAACTTTAAACGATTAAAAAAATAGGTTAAATATGTCATTTGCCTTATTTTAACATATTAATAATCAAAATCAGTATTAATTTAAAATGATTTTTTTTTTGTTCTTAGTTATTTTTTTTATGTGTAAATACTTATTTTTTAATAATATGTAATAATATTAAAACTTATAAATGATAGAAAAAGTCTAATGGCACATTTGCAAACATCGCGAAAAGTTGATTTAACAAAGTATATTTTTGTTTCTGATAAAAGTTTCTTGTAGTCCAGTGTATAAAACTTATAACTTTGTTATAAGTAATAAGCATATTTTGTTATAAAGTATTGCATCAAACCATTTAAATTTTTATACGCGTTAAAATTAAAGAAATATACAACTACTTTATTATTTTTATAATATCTCTATAAAAATTACAATATTAAATTATTGAGTATCAATATCATATTAAATTAAATTATTATTATTATTATTATAAATCAAATAACTAATCGGGATAAAATTAAGGGAATAAAAGTTATTGTTGCTTTTGAAATAATCCACCAATTTTTTTAAATTAAACACTATCTACAGATTTGCATCGAAGCGTCTTTTATGATAGTGATTTTAATCACTGTCATATATTATTATACTTGACCCAACTATGCCACGTCATGGAACCACTGTTCCGCGACCCCCCTGTGCTGGGTTTTTTTTTGTGTCTGTGAACGCTCAATCTCAGCTCACACTGGACCGATTTTGATGAACAATACGTCAAAATATCACAAGTCGTATTTAGTCGAAGATATTACCCCCTAAAATTGAAATAATTCCCTCGTTCTCCGTAAACGGGGAAACCCCCCAAAAATTACATATTTATAAATCGCTACCAACTGTACTGGTTTTTTTTTATATAATTTTCTAGTATTGTTTTATTTTAAATTCCTTAAGTATTAATGTAATACAATCTTATATATTTTTTATGATAATTACGACAGTGTATTTAAATTTTACGTATACCAATTTTATAGTTAATTATTTATATAATTATAAACAATAGTTTATAATCGATATGCTGAATATGCTTGATATTTGGTTTATATTTTATACAAATTAAGTATCCGAATAACTAGAATCGGTTATTGATTTGTTCCTAATTAACCAATTTGTTATTATCGATGATCTTTAATTGTATTTGCAAATAGTTAATTATAGATTTTTAATTTAAAATGTTCATTTAGAACATAGGTATTGCTCCACGATTGTTAGACGAGTTTTTTAAAAAGGTTGAAAGTTTATCATCAAACGAGTCTGCGTCAGTTAAAATTAGTTGTGTTGAAGTTAAAGAAAACTGTATTATCGATTTATTGAAGTATTCTAAAGTAACTAATAAAGTAAGTTTAAAAATAAATAAAATCTTAGTTTCATGTAAACCTTTACACAAGTTTCATCGTAAACATTAGGGTGGTTCTTAGTCATATAAGTCAATTTTTTTTTGTCGAAATTCGTTCGGGACAGCCCCTAGAATTGTTCTGTTAAAAAAATAAGTTGTACAAAATTTGGTTGAAATTGAGTGACATTAACACGTGCCGCAAGAGGGTTGAAAATTCGTCTGTAAGGGTGGTTTTTCAGTTTTCTTCATTTATCTTACAAACTATGTAATTTACAGAAAAAATCATAAAACTTTTTTGTAGAACTATATGTTTTCTATAAAAAATATTATAAAAAAGTCCATATATCCATAATATTTAGGCCTAGAAATTTAAAAAACAACATATATATTTTTCAACTATTGGAATCAGTTTTATTCGTTATCTTAAGTATTGCAGGCGTACTATTAAACCTATAAAAAAAAGTTTCATACAAAAATTGTTCAAAATTTAATTTTCATCATATTTGTTGTACTTTCAATTTATTATTATTATTAAATTCAGTTAAACTATTCGCGTATTTATTCGCAAAAAATTATTTTATACTAATACACAAAACAAATTAATTATAATTACAGTCACATATTGAAATTACAATATTGTACAAGAGATTATTATATTTTGGTAAAAAGCCCGTATACCTACAATTACTGAACAACATTGTGTAGAAAAAGTAGAAAANTCAATATGAACGGCCTTACAAGAAAAGCACACGAAAATACATACATATGCCTTTATTTTAGTAGAGTTTCGTCGTAAACTACTAAATAAATAAAATCTTAGTTTCATGTAAACCTTTACACAAGTTTCATCGTAAACATTAGGGTGGTTCTTAGTCATATAGGTCAATTTTTTTTTGTCGAAATTCGTTCGGGACAGCCCCTAGAATTGTTCTGTTAAAAAAATAAGTTGTACAAAATTTGGTTGAAATTGAGTGACATTAACACGTGCCGCAAGAGGGTTGAAAATTCGTCTGTAAGGGTGGTTTTTCAGTTTTCTTCATTTATCTTACAAACTATATAATTTACAGAAAAAATCATAAAACTTTTTTGTAGAACTATATGTTTTCTATAAAAAATATTATAAAAAAGTCCATATATCCATAATATTTAGGCCTAGAAATTTAAAAAACAACATATATATTTTTCAACTATTGGAATCAGTTTTATTCGTTTTCTTAAGTATTGCAGGCGTACTATTAAACCTATAAAAAAAAGTTTCATACAAAAATTGTTCAAAATTTAATTTTCATCATATTTGTTGTACTTTCAATTTATTATTATTNAATTTATTTTTCATCATATTTGTTGTATTTTCAATTTATTATTATCAAATTCAGTTAAACTATTCGCGTATTTATTCGCAAAAAGTTATTTTATACTAATACACAAAACAAATTAATTATAATTACAGTCACATATTGAAATTACAATATTTTTTAATTTACAACTGAAATATGTAAATTCTTATATTCATTGAGCCTGTATTTAATAACGGTTGCTTTAATTATACTATAATAGTTCACTAACATTTTGTATTTTTGACAACGATATATTTTTTACCCAACTATTTAATGGGGTATTATCACAAATGCATCTATTAACATTTATTATTCTTAAATCAAAGTTTTATCAAGTTCGATAACTGTTGTATATATTGCTGCATTTGATAGCGATTAGTATTATTGACTCTTACATAACATACGATAATGATTGTATACATTTTTATACAGTCCATTGTCAACTGAGTGTTACATTGTTGTGTTTACAAAATAGAAATATAATATATAATTATTTTTCTATTATTATTATTTGAAAATGGTTTTGATATCAAGTTTACGTGAATCAAATTTTATATATTTGTTTGGATATAGTTCAAATAGTTGGTAGCAAATTGCCGTCCAATAGATAAATTTTGACAGTATTATTTTACAATATGAGGGAGGTAAAACTAAATTTGCGTTTAAGTGCCTCTTTGGTTGTACAAGAGATTATTATATTTTGGTAAAAAGCCCGTATACCTACAATTACTGAACAACATTGTGTAGAAAAAGTAGAAAAATTGTACCACGACTGGAAAAATTTACAAAAATCAGAACACCGAAAAACTGAAGCTCAATATAAAAAAAAATTCTGATTTTGTTTCGAACCTTAAAAATTTGTTTGATATAGCTCATGCTGATGCTTTTAATATTATAAATATTAAGGAAGACAAAGAATTTTTAATAGCTCAGCGGAAAAAAGGGCGTCTTGGTTCAATGGTTGACATCGACAAAAAATTAGAAAATATTGAAACTAATATTGAAAATAGAAAACTAGCGGATGATCATAGAAGAGCTTGTGCTAGTAAAGAAATTAAAGCTATTAGTAAGTCTTAATATGATCAGTTTATACGATTAACCAATTAACTATTAACTTACATTTTAGCTGAAACTGTACAACTACAGTCGTCTAGTAGCAGTGATGAAATAGTTGATGATAATGCTCATAATACAAAAGCAGACCAATGTGAATCACTAAGAAAATGTTTTAAAACAAGACGAGGTACTGACAATTGTATAACAGAAAAATTGTCTATAGCACTAGATAGATGTAAAATAAGTGATGGTTATATGATACATATTTTAGTGGCAGCTGCGGAAGCATTTGGTATTGATTCTAGTAAATTAATATTGAATAAATCATCGGTTTGACGCTCTCGACTAAGCTTCCGTCAAGAACGCGCAGAAAAAATACGACAGGATTTTATGGTAAAAAGAGATGAGGCAATTGTGCTACATTGGGACGGATAACTTCTCCCTGCCATTACAGGTAAAAATTTAGTCGATAGATTACCTGTAATTGCTTCTTGCAGTGGCGAGGAACAACTTCTAGGTGTACCTTTTATAAACACTGGCACCGGGAATGATCAAGTTTCTGCTGTGTTCAAAATGCTTATTGACTGGTGCTTATCAGAACAGGTTCAACCGTTTTGTTGTGATACAACTAATTCAAATACTGGCCGTTTGAACGGAGCATGTATTATTTTAGAACAGTTATTAGAACGTGATGTAATATATTTACCTTACCGTCACCATATTTACGAAATTGTATTAAAAGGGTATTTTGATGTCAAATTTGGTGGAACATCAGGCCCAGATGTATTAATATTTAAAAGATTTCAACAAGCTTGAGGTAATATAAATAAATACCAGTTGAAACTAAAATAAAAATGGTAAAAGCTTTGAAGATATAGAACCATCATCAAATATAGTGTCAAACTCTAAGCGTTTAATCGTTTCTCCGAAATATAGTCATGTGTTTTTAGAAAATGAAATTGATCAATTCATAAGTAAAAATTCTTACCAACTATTTCAATATTAATACTCAATTTTTGAATGAAAATCCTTCCAAATAGACTGATAACGAGAGCTTTGTCAGTAGTTAAAAAAATACCTGTTGTAAATGATGTAGNATCAAAAAGCTTTGTCAGTAGTTAAAAAAATACCTGTTGTAAATGATGTAGCTGAATGAGTCACCAAATTAATAGAAGACTACAACAAAATTATCACAAAAGATGAAAATCAAAAACAATATCTTCTACAAGTTGTATCAGATTGTCATAAAAATTTCCGGATTTTAAAAAATCAACTTTAATAACCAAAAATATGTTGTTATGATATATTTTCATCTTTTTTATTCACATTTTTTAATACTCATTTAAATTTTTTGAATAATAATATCGGTTCATATTAACGAAAAACCCGATTTTATTATAAACCTATTATTATTTTATACATTTTTTTTTTGTTGTATATTTATATACATTTTATCGGTAATGTGAACATTTTTCCAAAATAATTAACTTTTATCAATTATTTTAATATGTCCTCAGTAACGTAAGATTACTTTATTATAAAATTGAATTAATTTGCTTTGTTTTTGTACTTTTGTATTTGTATAAAATCATTTTTTGCGAATAAATACGCGAATAGTTTAACTAAATTTGATAATAATAAATTAAAAATACAACAAATATGATGAAAATTACATTTTGAATAATTTTTGTATGAAACTTGATATCGAAACAATTGTTATACAATTGTCAGTACCTCGTCTTGTTTTAAAACATTTTCTTAGTGATTCACATTGGTCTGCTTTTGTATTATGAGCATTATCATCAACTATTTCATCACTGCTACTAAACGACTGTAGTTGTACAGTTTCAGCTAAAATGTAAGTTAATAGTTAATTGGTTAATCGTATAAACTGATCATATTAAGACTTACTAATAGCTTCAATTTCTTTACTAGCACAAGCTCTTCTATGATCATCCGCTAGTTTTCTATTTTCAATATTAGTTTCTGTTAGCGCGAGTCACACTATAGTATGGTCTTTTATCTTTGTTTGGCTGGTCAGCAATGTGTCTTTTAGTATTAAGTCTAATCAGTGTACGTTCCACCGCTGAACCATCAGCGACGCGCTCCAATATTAATCAAGGTTACATTTGTATTTAAATATTTTCATGTAAGTTTTAATTATAAATAAAATTAAGGAACAAATATTTTGTACATTTTATTTATTCATGTTAAATTTAATATTCATTACATTAATCAAACAAATTAAAAAATTTTATATCAAAAAAATAAGGTTAATTGAGCGTTCGATTTTTTAACGATTAATAATCCCGCTCACCAACAGTTTCAATATTTTCTAATTTTTTGTTGACGCCAACCATTGAACCAAGACGCCCTTTTTTCCGCTGAGCTATTAAAAATTCTTTGTCTTCCTTAATATTTATAATATTAAAGGCANATTAATAATCCCGCTCACCAACAGTTTCAATATTTTCTAATTTTTTGTTGACGCCAACCATTGAACCAAGACGCCCTTTTTTCCGCTGAGCTATTAAAAATTCTTTGTCTTCCTTAATATTTATAATATTAAAGGCATCAGCATGAGCTATATCAAACAAATTTTTAAGGT